GTCAACAAAAGCGGCAGATGAAGGAAAATTGAGTCCAAATTGGAAATGCCCATAGGGTTAGAGGGATCGCTGGTAAAGAGCATATGAGTTGGAAACAATGGATGGCAAGGTGTTACCATCAACTGGAATGCAGTCCATATGAAGAAGTATTACTTCTAAATGAGGTTAATAGCCACGGTCATCATGCAAAGTTTGATTTTATTTCATTCATTTGAATTTTACTAACCATTTTAGATGATATACAAAAAGCTAGCCCATACCAAATGATAATATTAGACCCGAAAGACATGCGGAATACTGAAATATTCCCGGTCTAGGTTACAACTTTTCTGATGGAAAGAGGGTTATGTATTCATCATCTAAAAAGTTATCTCCGAGTCCCGTTTTGTATTTTTCTTTTCAGGAAAAGGACCAAAAGAAAGGAGTTTATCCAGTGTTTGAGATTTCATACTTCAAAGCTCTAACACTGGGGGGACTATGCATATAGAAGGTAAGGAAGAAAGATGTATACCACAGGCATAGTTCAGCCTAAATCAAAACCTTGAAGAAACCCTTGAAAAGTTTTCAATGAAGTTCAAACTCGCAAAAAGGATGCAAGATATTCCCACGAGCTTCTAGGTTAAGGCCATAAATTTAGTCGCGGGAGAATAGACCCGAATTTGTAAACTTGCTACAATGAAAGCAGTTGTGAAAATGTTGTATCAACAGTTATGAAAATGATGTACATAATTTATTCATTTGAGAGTTCAAAACATAAAACTTCCTCAATTATTTCTCTTTTCATATATACTTCATATTTCATATATTTGCACAAGTATGAAGACGAGATGTCATCTTCATCAGTGTCATTAATATAAAGGGGCCCTCTTTTATAGAAATCAGTGTTATCGAAGTCACAGTATATTAAAGCATTTTAAGTGCAAGAGTAAGCTCAAATATTAAAAAGACAGAAAGCATAATATGCGGCAAAAGCAATAAAGATATTTATGTCATATCCCCAAAGAACAGGGGCGGTATTTATATCATAACCCCAAAAAAGACAGGGGCAGTAAAACCTTCCAAAAAGTTGTCCAAAAAACTCAAGGGAGTTCCAAACAAAAACCAACAAACAAACACTTTCAACAAAAAAGTCTGGAAAAAGGAAAAGCTAAGGAGCATCATCAATGGGATAAGAAGAATCGACTTGGGGAGAAAATGGTTGAACATCAGCTTCACCAGGAGCAAGTCCATTTCCATCACCCTTAGAACCTTCGTCTTCAGGTGTGGAAAAGCTTTGACGTTGCTGAGTCTGTTCAATAGTTTCTCTGGCCTTAGCAATCTCAGTGTTAAGGTCAAAACCTTCCTAGCTGGCTTCAGTTAAAGTCTCGAGGCGAGTGTTCAAAAAAGCCCAGCTAACATCCAATGATGACTTATCTTTAAGGGCTTCATAATCCTTCTCCCATTGCTCGACCTCATCTTTCAATTCTTCTTTTTCTGCCTCCGAGGCTTCATAAGCAGTCCTCAAAAGAGCAAGAGAACTTTCAAGGAACTGAACTTTATTTGTAGAGACACGAAGGTCTTCTTGAGCTTGGGTAAGCATCTGAACCAGATCACCCGTGCAAACCTCTTTTTGATTAAGGAGCTCTTTCAAACTCCTTATCTCTGCAGTAGGCCTTGGAATGTTGTTCAGCAAAAGAGGATTCCAGTCTACCCTTGTCTTTCTCAACTTGACTGAAAAAAGCTTTTAGAACCGTTGACTCAGCGGAGACCATCCTCAGTAGTTGTTCCAAAGCTCCTTTTTCCTCTGCAAGCACGTCCTTCTCCAACTGAAGACCTTAAAATTGTTCTCTCCAGTTGGCAGCCTCAGTGCGCAACTCAATTAATTGCTGGTCAATCCAAGAGATCCTTTACATAAGCTCAATGCCTATCAAATTAATCTACAAAAATGCAAAAGAAGAAGAGTTACGAATGAGGAAAAGGAAGGAAGGAAATATAAGTAAAGTTATACCTTAAGAGAAGAATGAACGATGTCATTCATCAAAGTCAAGGAACTGTGACCGTTCAACTTCTTCTTTTCCATGGGTCCTAACAACGGTTTCAGCCATACATCAGCTTGTCCAGATTTTCGCAACAAATTGCCACCCTCGGGGACTTTAATAACAACTTTTTCATATCCCCCTGCTGCTAGAAGGATCAGCTTCTACATGAGGAGCAGCAGTGGGAGCAACCATTGGGGGAACACTAGGTAAAGACATAGGGGGGTTAACAGTGGATAAAACTGGAAGGGAAGCGAGTGGCAGTTCTTCAGAAACAGGCCCGAGGCCTTCCTCACCCTCAAAGCCATGGGCGAATAACTTTTCAACAGGACTTGGGGGGAGGGGGGATTGGCTGAGTTACCAGCACCTTCATCAGAAATTTCTAAAGAAGCACTCTCCGGCCCATCAATAAGTCTGAAGGGAATCGAACTTGATGGTGGGTCATGAGAGACATGGGTTTCATCGTCTGAAACCACGTGTCTTATGACATGAGGTTTTCTCACCAAGGAACCTTCTTCGGCCTCCTCTTCATCATCAAACCCACGGGCTTCAGCAGTTTTTCTCTTGGAGGAAGAAGCACTCAAAATCTATTCTTAAGCAAGACTTACAGAAAGCCTGGTTGAAGGAACAAATGCGGGACTGATGCCACGAATGGCAAACTCTAATTAAAAAAAGGGTGATGAAAAAGTTATATATGAACAAGTAAAGAAGGAAAGAAGCTGCGAGAATAAAGAGTACTGTGAGTCTTCACTTTCCAACCAAATTTCTGTGAAAGAAATTTCCAAGATCTTTTGTTCATGGGAGCAGCAGTCAACATTTTTTCTACCCAAGCACGGAAGTCAGGAATTTATTCAAAGACTTCCAAGGTTGCTGAAAATATGAATATGCGATTATATAAAGGAACTCAAGGCATCAAAGAAAGAAAAAGAAAAAAGAGAAAAACTTATGTGCAAAGTTTTATTTTTCTGGAAAAGGCATGTTTTTTTCACCCACTAATCCACTAGTGGGGGCAGCAACAAAACGGGCGTACCATCCACTATCACGGTCATCTTCGGGGCTAACTAAAACCCTTTTACTTCTAGCCAAGAGAGAAAAGACACCTTCACGAAACAACTTAGGAGAGTAAAGATGAAGTAAGTGACGGAAGGTAAAAGAAGCGGAAACTAGATCCGACAAATAGCGAAGGCATGCCAATGCGCTCCACACAATGGTACTAATTTGGCCAAGGCAAACATTAAAATAGCAACAGAACTCGATGATCACTGGGTCAATGAGAGATTTAAACTAAAGTGAAATGGTATGTATAAACGAAAGAGAAGCCAGCATGGTTAGAAGTGATTCTTTGGTTAGCACCAGGAATTAAAACTGGGAAATCTGGTTTCCAATAACATTCTCGTCGAACTAAAGAAAGAAGATCAGGAGTGATCAGACTTGGGTAGTGTTCAACAGGTTTAAGGGAAGCTATAGAAGAAACTTGATTTTTCATGGCTACATGATCTGATACAAAAGAAAACTCTTGAGGAACAAGCTCAGAAACCGTAGGCTCACGCATGGGTTCATTCTGATCCCTATTTTTAGAAGAAGATCTAGGGGTTAAAAGAGCTCTAGGTCTAGAAGAAGATGGTTTGACGGAACTACTTTGAGAAGTAGAACTGTGAGTAGATAACGAACCAAGACTGCGGAGTCTACCACCTCTCCTACTCCTAGTAGGGGCAATAGAAGGAGCAAGCTCGTCGACGATCACAACTTTTCGAGGGTCTGGTGTTGAAGAAGACATGTTTAACAAATAAAATACAGAGGAAATATATAAGACTACGAAGGAAGGTTAAGATGATGGATACAGAGAAGAAGGAAGAGGATTTCAAGAAATCAAGGGGGATGAAGTATTTATAAGGAGATGCAACCCTCATCAAAGTTGATCAGACTGATGCAGCCGCATAAGAACCCTAAAAAGTGCTGAGAAATTGCAGAACCAATCAGGTGAAGCCACGTGGCATGGGCATTAAATGGATGTGATATACGCATCGATTCTGAAAAGAGCATAATGATACTCGAGAAACAGCGGCAAAGAATTCACGCCATAAGTACTTACCTCTTCCCGAATATTCAGTTGAGAATATTCAGAAAGTGGGGGGGGACTATCTGTATTAGTGGAAAAAAGGCATTACACGTGGTCTATCATCGAGGTGATAGGGCATGGTACGTGGACCATCAATATAACGACAAGTGGCGTTCCTAATTAGATGAGTTAAAGAATGCGAAAAAGGCACGGGAGGAACACCCTTGGGTTTATACTGAGAAAAGAGCCGGACCTGATAGTTGTAAAAGGAGAAAAAGGAACGGAATGAATAAAGGTCGTTAAGAAGGGAAGATGCACAAACCTGTCATAAATAAGGAAGGGAAATCGATACGGTTACAAGAAATCTTTAGCCATAAATACTTCCGTTACAGTTGTATATGGTAACGGGTAATCAAGGCAATTAATCCCATTAGTGAGCCCGAATTAAGTAAGGAAACCGTTACACTTGTATGCTCATTTGTAATGGCATCGAATAATTATTAAAATTTATGCAATCATTCTTTACTTTATTCTCACGATTCTAAACTGTAATTTTGGGAGTGATTATCCATCTGTTTCATATTTTCTTTGTCAAACCATTCCTTGATTTATTCTTCAAATTATTAGGAAAGCAAAATAAATCTTGGTCATCAGTAACCCGATTTCTTCTAGATATTGACTTTCACCGAGAAATCTATTTTTGGGTTAAACATCATTGGGATGAACTTAAGCAAATATACCACATGAAAAGATCTCTAACAAGGGTTGCACTGAAGATGAGATCATCAGAATTCTTTTTACTCCGGAGTATAACAGCTGAAAGCACTGTGAAACGATGACAATGATCAACCAAGAAATACTAACAAGGTAGAGACCGTCCTCGGTATTTCTTGAACAGAAGTTCCTCATTTGCTATTATTCAGCAGTAAGCAGAAGAGAACTAAAATTCCATTTTTTGATAGAATCAGTTTGGACATCTCATTTCTTTCTTGGATATAGATCAACTGATCAAGCCAACTGGAGCAAAATGAACAGGCTAGGTGTTTCCCAGGATTGCCAGTTTAAGCTGCTACAACAGTTCAAGTGTTCAACAGAGAAATGCTCAGTGGCTAACTACTCTGAATTTTGTAGCAAATTAGAGTATTAACACATCAAAATTTACATTCTTCTATCTTAAATGCCATGAAGTCCTCACTGGTCAGAAAGTAGCTGAAATTTGGCAGACACTGCAGGTCAGCATGAAAGCCATTTGACGTGATTACACTAATGAAATAGTGCTTTCCCCGCCAGGTGGTTTGCGCACACCGCCAAGGTGATCCCTTGATTCAATTTTTCCATCAGAAAATATATCACTGCCACTCATTTCTTTCAGCTTAGCGCTGCTCAGCAGCTTCTCTGCGGATCCAGGAGGAATATCTCCCTTGAAAATGTCATTCCCCGTCAATTCTGCAAACTTCTGGTTATGTGTTTTCTTTGTTGTCTTGCCAACAGGTTCATCACCAAACCAGATACTGCTTTGACCACCAGCAGGCTACAGAATGCGGCAAGAGTAATGAGAGCCCATAATAGTAGAAGCCAAATAAGGAAAAGGATAACAACCAAGTCCAATTTTAGGTACAAGATAATATTTGACATAATTAGACAGTAAACATCAATCTTAGCCAACATCAGACATTGTGGAGAAAATAGAACACTTGAGTAGTTGATTTCTACAGGTACCACTATAAAAATGAGTCTTACTGGATTGCAACTCTTTTTGTTCTTTGAATTATTAAGCCACTGGAGGCGGTAAAGCTAAGTAATTTGACCAATTCCTTTTTAAGTCTCAGGGTAAGGTTAAGAGCATCTTACTGGATCTTAACCTTTTCTTTTCTCAACTTTAAAGCACCTGAAGAATTTCATCAGTGTTAAAGAACACCAACATTGTCACAACTCTTAATCATTTTTTTCCCTCAAATAAGATGGAAGGAATAATGAAACAAGCCTCAAAGACAACTCACATTAGAAACCCTAACAGATGTGCGTACAGTTCGTGAGGCAGGTTCACCCATGCCTTTGCTTTCTTTCGACTCCAAGGAGCGCGCAGCAGCCAGTGACCCAGTAGGAACTTCTGGAGGAGGGCCAAAGATATCATTTCCACTAAGCTCCTTGGTCTTTGCATCTGATAGATGCTTCTTGATTTTGCTATCTGACTCACTTTCTATGTTTCCACTCAACTCACGCTGCTTTGCCACTTCGGTCAGAGTGGTAGGCTTCTTTGGAGAAACGTTTTCATCAGTACTGAATGAAATCTGGCTTATTCCATTTGTAGCTTGCTACAATGCACCATTAAAAAATTTGGTTAAATCGACATTCACCGATTTTCTAATTAGGTAGTATGCTCACACTGCTAGTCCAGTGTAAATCATTTTCCTTGAAAGGAGAAAAGAAGTACCTGAACAATGCGCACTGATGTCCTACTGCTAAAACTGCCATCATCAGTTCTAGATTCTAATGTACCATCTTCACCACCAGCAGAAAATATGTTGCTCAGTTTATACCCTGAACAAGGTTTCCTGAAGAAAAGTTTTAACAAGACTCAGTCCAAAGGATCACAGTACATAACTTTGAAGTTGTTGTCGAGTCACTGGATTTCATTTCTTTATCAAACAGAACCTCTTGGTTCAATTAAATTATGAGTTAAGACCCTACTGAACTGAAGTGGGTATCAGGAAACAAATATGTAAATTTTGGCCAGAATTTCAACAATATGTAAAATTGGAGGTCGGGAATCAGAGCAGAATCAGGTTTAAGAGTAATGCTTGGCTAGATGGGGAAAGTCTAAAGAATCCCTATGTTGTAGAGTACATCAAAAAATAAACAATGTAGCATGTACAGTGGCTGAATGCTATATTAGGTCTGGTTGGCAGCTTGATCTCAGGAGGAATTCTAATGCCTGTGAATTAGATGAAATTAGTCAGGTAATACATTGTTCGGGACCTGTTAGCCTTGATGTTAACAGGTTGAACTTTCAGATCTGGTTGAAAAGGATTAAAAAAAAATCAGTTTAAAGTTGATACAGTCTTCTGCAAAAACAAGCTGTGCATTGGAATTTGACATGGCATTGGAAGATGTTGTTGAAAACTAGATCCCCTCCTAAGGTAACTTGTTTTAGATGGATTGCAGTTAGTAATGCCTTCTTAACTCAAGACATGCTACAAAAGAAAGGATACTATCTGTGCAGTAGAAGTTTTTCATGTGAAGAGTCAATAGAATCTGCAAGTCATCTCTTCGTGCACTGCACACAAACAAGACAGATCTGGGATTAATTCCTATGCATTTTTGGGCTGCAATGGGTGATGCCACAAGGTGTAAGAGGTGTGTATTGGAGTGCTGGCACACTCAGAATATGAGCAAAAGATGAAGCAAGTCTGGAAGACCATTCCTCTTGCACCTTTTGGACTATCTAGTTGGAAAAGAATAAGAGATACTTTGAAGATCAAAGACATCATATCTCTAATGTAAAGAATAGATGAATCTATACTTCGTTTTTTTTTTTTTGATAATGTAATAAATTTCAAGAATCCATACTTTTGCTGTCGGAGTATTTTTCGGAAACAGACTCTCTACCTTTACAAGGTAGGGGTAGGTCTGTGTACACATTACCCTTCCAGACCCACTGGGTTCGTGGTTGTTGTTATTGTTGTTGCTGTCCGAGTATTTTATTGTTTTGGAATTCTGGGGGGTATATTAAAACAGTAATGTTGTAATCTCTTTTTTGTTGTGTGTAGTACCTTCTTGGTACTCTACTAATGAAATTTATCTTATCTTATCAAAGAAAAAATTTACGAGTTAAGACAACACAATCCAAGTTTTGCTTCAACTACTCTCAAACTCTGCAGAGGTGGAGAAAAGAATTAACACAAAATTAAATGTCAACCTAGAAGTGCCATTCATCTCCGTATGCCTAACTTTACAAGATCATTGATCAATAAAGAAATAAAAAAAGGAGATAGAAAATACTAGTTAGATAGCATGCCCATCATGGTGCATAACCAGGACAAACAACTTGGAGTTTTGCACTCCATTTCATTCTCGGCAGCAGTTTGCTACTTATATTCTCAAGCGATATTAGTTCCCAATACACCATAAAAACTTTCTAATCTCCAAGGCTTCATAACTACTCATTAGAAGAATATTTCAGTCCACGAAATGGGTACAAACCAGATATGAGCATCTCTTGGACTTGACACTGGAATAATATGCAAAAATGAAGGCAACCACCTACTTCAAGTAGGTCAAAGATGAGGGCGTAATAAAATTGAGTGAATACACAGCATGAAGCTGTAATTTTCACCAATTTAATCCTAATGATATCGATTTTCCCGATTCTGGTAATATAATATTCTAAATGGTCATAAAAATTTGCCTTGCCCATCATAGTCTTTTATTTTCCTCAAAAATTTCCCCATAGCCTTCTCGCTTGTTAGTGAAATACTCAAATTTGTTACACTTCCTATCAACACGCCAAATGTCAAATTTTAAAACCCATGTATGCTATCTACCAGCTATCAACAAGAAAACATCAAACTAAAATACCTACAAATATAGTCAACTATGACATGTCTCGGGAACAAGAAACTCATATCTTTACGCAATGACCACTTTGTCATTGTCAGTACAATATAGATTAAACCACTGATGTCTAACCCAAAGCTATTGCCTATGCAAGCTATTCAACAGGGGGACTCGTTAGCCCTTTGCTTAACTAATTTTCAGTACTCAAGCCACCTTCCCAAAGAAATAAAAGCCTATATTGATACCAAATGAAATTTAGAGTCATAGTAAGCAAACAGAACCGGTTGAAACAAGACAATTGGATAGGCATATATATATATATATATATATAGAGATCAACAAAGGCAAGCATGAGCAGACAGCGGCGAAGCCATGATTTGAAATTCGTGGGTTTATGATTCTAGCCATTTTAAGTTATTGGGTTCTAAATTAATAATTTGTAATATTAAATGAATTTCTTAAGACAAATATAGAGTTTGGATTAAAGTTACTGCGGCCGAACCCATACTTTGGCCTCTAGCTCCACCCATGTCAGCAGATGAATACTAGCTCTAATAAATACTAACATGAGATTAATAAAGGAAGCAAAAATAAATAATAAAATGCATTATCAGATCTACCTATCTAAGAAATTACCGAATCGCCGGTATATAAGGAGAAAAAGCAAAGATCTGAACGTTTAAACAAAAACCATGACAGCATAGAAGAAGAGAGCATGTTAAAAAAGAGGCTAATGAAAATGCCAAACAATTTAAAAACGAATTAAATTACTCCTTTGTGTTACCGGATGTTTAAGCCTTCAGCTTCTTCAGTAGTGATCTGACCACTAAATACCTTACTGATTCTATCAGATGGCTGCAAAGGAAACAGGAAAACAAAAAAGCAAAAACCCTAAATTACACAATAGCTGAAGGAAAAATAATTTTACTCAATAAATCTTTGAACGATCTCTACAATTTTCCACACTTAAAAATAGTTAGCAACACCTCTATTTGTAATAGTATCAAACCTAGAAACTATAAAATCTATTTCTATGAATTCTGACTACAAATCCTATTTAAACATGAACTACATAAATTAGCAAATATTAAATCCTAAACAATTTAGGTTTCATACTACAACTTTGGATTAGCTTTGATGAAAGGATGACTCGCCTGATGAGAGCGAGCGCCGGAGCCGAAATGATGACAAGAGGCACCGCCGGGAGTGAAGGCGGCTGAAGAGTTGGACGACGGCGGAACATCCGACCAGGTAAGTAGATCGGCGGTGGATGTATGGGAGTTCCGTACAGGTGTTGCTTTATCCATTGTTCTTTTTTCCGGTGCTTCCTCGGCTGACACCACCCACAACTCTCTCGCTCACAGTACAAGATCTCACTGGATATGCTTTTAGGCACTTGATATTGTATCAATTATATTGGGTTTTCTAAAGAAGTTTTTAAAGGGGAAAATGTTACTTTATACCCATTAAACGAGCTTTTGACCAATATTGTCCCTTATCTTTGAGGATAGGTCTATTTTGATCCCTCAAATATAACTTTGAGCATATTTAGTTCTTTAAGTATATTAAAGTGGAGCACATTTAATCTCACTGACATGATGTGTTCAAAAACTAACGGTGTTACCCAACTCTGATTCATGAGGCAAATATTCTGCTCTAAAGCAAAACGTTTCCTCTCCTTCTATTGCATAACGCAAATTATCACTTTAATTCCTCATTTTTAGATAATGTCTTCTAAAATTTTGACCTTGAAAATATCCCTTTTCTGTGCCATTTTTTAATGAGAAAATGATATTGTATAGCCGGTGTAAAAATAATAGCCGAAAAAATGTATAAAATTTGTAAAAAATTTTGTATATATATTTACATTTAAAAATTTTAGTTGATTTTTCCAAAAAGAAAAGTTAAAATTTGAAAAAAAAAATAGAGTTGTCAGGATCACTTCTAGGCATATTATTGAAGCAAACGAATAACATGTTGCATTATTACTTTTAGTCCGTGGCAAAAACTATTTACATCTGGTAGCCAAAAAAGTATATAAAATCTGTATAATTTTTGTATATTAATATACAAAATGTATGTATATATATATATATATATATATATATATATATATATATATATATATATATATATATATATATACAAAAAAATATACAAATTTTATATATTTTTTCGGCTATTATTTTTACAGCGGCTATTCAGTGTCATTTTCTCATTGAAAACTGGCACAGAAGCGAATATTTTCAAGGTCAAAATTTTAGAAGACATTTTCTAAAAATAAGGAATTAGTGATAATTTGTGTTATCCAATAAAAGAAGAGGAAACATTTTGCTTCAGAGTAGAAGATTTGCTTCATCAATTAGAGTTGGGTAACACCGTTAGTTTTTGAACACATTGTGTCAGTGAGACTAAAGGTGCTCCACTTTAGCATACTTAGGGACTAAATATGCTCAAGGTTATATTTGAAGGACCAAAATAGACCTACCCTCAAAGATAAGGGACAATATTGACCAAAACTCCCCATTAAACCCAAACTATTTATCTTTTAATACTCGAGCTAAAAGATTTACTTTTCCTACCTATACAGTCTAAACTATTTACCCTCCTACCCAATTCCTTTTACCTTTTCAATTTGTCTAAAAGTCTTACACCCTAAACATTCCTTTTTCAAAAAAACACCCATAGCTTAGTCTTTTTAGTGGATGATGAAAATCTAGAACAAACTCATGCATTTACCTTTTTTTTTTTTACAAAATTCTATATAAAGTGTAAAAGACAAGTTTTCAGTTATTGTACATGAGTTTCACTCCAAAATCCTCTTTCTATATTAGTATATTTTTTTGCGTATTTATTTGTATTTCTGAACTCATGGGTTGTTGTGGTTATATATTAAATGTCCCAAATATGATTTTGTGTGTGTATGAAGACCCACTATTGTTGAGCTTGAAGCTCCTGAATTTAAATTTTATTTTGAAAATTTATTATTTGATTCGATGTGGGTGCTATAAAATATTGATTATAGTACCTTCAACTAAGCTTTCCGGATACGAATTTGTATGTGTATTTGAATATCCACCATTGTTGAGCTAGAAGTTCTTGAATTTAAATTTTTATTTTGAAGATTTCTTGTTTGATTCAAGTGGGTGTTATTAAATATTTCTTATAGTACTTTCTGGAAGTTCATACTGAAATTTGATCGCATTTGAAGCTGATTTGAGGTGATTGAGATCGTATTTTTCTGTTAAGAATCGAAGAAGAACACAATTACCCAATAGTATACAGCTACAGTATACAATATGTTGTAGAAGTATATAGCTATGTTGTAATAGTATATTGTTATAGTATACAATATACTGCAACGGTATAAGATAATAATCGTAGAAGAACAGAGTTACCTAACAGTATACCGCTACCGTATACAATATACTGTAGGAGCATATAACTATACTCAACAGTATACTATTATAGCATACAATATACTGTAATAGTATATTGTAATAATATGCAGTATACTGTAATAGTATACAATATACCATAATAGTATACTTCGACTGTTGAATCATCTAGGTGCTATTGTGCAAAGCTAAAGGTATGGTTATAGTAACATTATATTGTTATAGTATACAATAATATAATAGTATACCGTAAAAATTAAGTCATTTTTAAAAATATTCCAATTAGGTCCTTGCAAATATTTTTTAAAATGAATTTTATATGGAGGTTCATGAAAATAATATTCATTGTATAAGAAGTAGTTGTCCGAAGACACAAAATAGTAATATGAAAAAAAAAATTGAAAAAAAAGTTCAATGAAATTAGAGAAGAAATGTGAAATTAAAGAAATAAACAAAAAGAAAAAAAATAAAAGAATGAAAAGAAACGAGCCAAATTTAGTATAAAACTAGATTATGTAATAAAAAAAATAAAGAATAATATGATTCTGGGTAAAATATATGAAACAGAAAAAATAAAAAAGAGAAAAAGAAAATAAATAATAAAAACGAGACAAAATAAAAGGGGAAAAGAAAGAAAAGAAAAAAAAAACAGAGAAACTAAAACGAAAATGAGAAGAAAAAAAGAAAGAAACAATTACCCACAAAAGATGAAATGGGTAGGAAGGGTAATTAGTTTGGTGGGTAGAAAAACTAATGGGTAGGTAAGGGTAATTAATTTAATTTTTGTGGGCAAAGATGTAAAACTCCCTTTTTAAAAGCCCTCTATTTCAATTTATATTATGTAATTTTTTAATCCGTTCAAAAACAAAGTGATGCCTTTTTTTTTATTTCAAATAATTTTATTTTAAATAAAATAATATACAATCATATAAATATTTATAACTTAAAGTAAAATTTACTTTATTCAACTAAATAGGAAGTCTTTATATTTAAAACTCATTCAAATTTTACTTTATATCAATTTTCTTTTATCTTATATCAATATGTTTATCATACACTTTAATATTTAAGTAAAATTATTTTTTACGTTGACAAATGTATACGGTAAAATCGGAGGGTCCAATTTTCGGCCATTACAACGCCTCGTGTGCAAGCTTTCCAAAGGCTCGAGACTACGGTCGAGATTTATCCCGAGGGGGCATCGGTGTCCAACCTCGAGGCAACACAAGTCGAAGGTTACGGTAGGAAAGTGGGAAGTTCCCTAGGCGCGCGACTAGGGCTGACAAAACCTAGCGAGCTAGCTCTGACCCGTATTAGGGCATTCAGTGGCTATACCTGCCCCATATCTTTGTAATTAATGCTTTGGTACTATGTTCCCCCTCATATATAAAGGGGAATCCTTGTCATTTGTACAAGACCGGATACTCAATATTGAATACACAAGAACATTCTCTCAGCTCTTTAACATATCCTCTTGATTTTACTACTTCATTTATTGCCTATATTTATTGTTTTCTATTTATTGTTCTTCATTTATTGCTTATCATTGATCATAAAGGGCCATCATCATAGCTCTCATAACTGTTATCCCCCCTCTCGACTGCTCCGAATCGGCCATCCAGCTCGACCCCGAGGCCTCACAATCGACGGCTCGAGACCCCCGATCTCAACTGTTTGGTTCGACTATCATAAACGTTTTTAAACTATATTCCTGATTCCTAACCTTTTACTTAGCATCTATCGCTTTACAACCAGCATAAAAATAGGTCACGTATTTTTAGAACCTCATAATAAAATTTAATTGTTATTACCATTTTCACAGTAAACAGTTTGGCGCCCACCGTGAAGCTAAAAATAATAGTGATTATTTTCTTGCTGGTTTTACTGCACAACGCAAGTTATCTTTCACACTTTTTCTTGCCCAAGATCTTTGATTTCAGTTCGAAATGTCTAACTCAGTAAACGCACGTGAAAACATCAATCTTGAAGACTATGGAGAAAATGATGTTGAAGTCCCAGGTGTTGGTGTACCACTACGAAACACTGAGAATGCACCAAAACCAATTCCCGTGGATGCGGTCTCCCGCGACGCTCAACACGTCGAAATAAGCTCCCACACCAACAGAAGCATACACCAAGAAGATCAGCAAGAAGCTCAAAAAACCCCAGCTAGGGGAGAACGAGAGGTTAGCCTTCACGTTATTTTTGAAATGTTACAGGCACAATAGCTGGCGATCGCTTAGCTGTAAAGTCACCAGAAAACTCCCAGCACGGTAGCATCGGGGACGGCTCCCCTAGCCGAGCAGATACCGGGAAGGCCAACCAACAACGAGTCGACAGCCGACCCCACAATCGTAAAGATGCTCGAGGACCTCACAAAGAGGATCTAATCGGGCGAGAAGAAGATAGAAGCCAACGACAAAAAGGTCAAGACCTACAATTCCACGGTCGACCAGATCCCAGGCGCACCCCCGATCCTGAAAGGCGTGGATTCAAAGATGTTCGTGCAAAAACCGTTCCCACAGGAAGCGACTCCGAAACCCATTCCGAAGAAGTTCAGAATGCTAGACCTTCCGAAGTACAATGGAACCTCAGACCCCAATGAGCATGTTACTGCTTACACTTGTGCAGTGAAGGGCGACGACCTAAAGGACGATGAGATCGAGTCCGTCCTACTGAAGAAGTTCGGGGAAACGCTTTCTAAATGGGAAATGATGTGGTATCACAACCTGGCCCCAAACTCGATAGATTCATTTGCCATGTTGGCGGATTATTTCATTAAGGCACATGCTGGTGCCATCAAAGTAGCAACAAGGAAATCCAACGTCTTCAAGATTAAGCAGATGGAGAATAAGATGCTGCGAGAGTTTGTATCTCGCTTTCAAATGGAAAGAATGGAACTACCACCAGTCTCCGATGGCTGGGCAGTGCAGGCCTTCACTCAAGGTCTGAATGAACGAAGCTCGGTGGCTTCAAAGCAGCTGAAACAGAATCTGGTTGAATATCCAGTCATGA